TTGTTACAAACCAATTAAAAATAATATTACAAATTATGACAAAATAAACTTCCTAATATTAAAATATTAATAATAATAACAATAATAATAATAATAATAATATAGTAAGTTAGATAGATAAATTTATAATATAATGAAATGTTTGTTGATTTAAAGAAGGATTTTCCCATTTAATATGAAGTGCTTCTTTTATTTTTAATTTGTAAATGGTAGAGGCAGTATCCAAAATCTGAAAGCAATCATAATTAGTTAGTATTTTACAATTAATGAATGAATTTAAATGTTTAAAAATATGCAATTGCTTGTCACTCGTAAGGTGCTCATTTATCCTTGTTGTCAAATGTCTGGAGGTTTCTCTAATATAACTGGCGTTACAGCCAGCACAAGAAAATTTGTAGACAACGTTAGATTTAAGCATCTTAGGAAGTGGATCTTTTATGCAAAAACTGTTTTTTAATTTATCGGTTGTAAATATAAATTTGATTATTACATTTTTACAATACTTTTTAATAATTTTATCAATTTTTATATTGTGGTTTTTATTAAAATTTTTAAAAATTTATATATATATATATATATATATATATATATATATATATATATATATATATATATATATATATATATATATATATATATATGAATTAAATGTTGACATCTTGTATGAGAGTATATATGTTAAAAAATATAAAAACAATTAATACGAGTTCTCTTAATACTATTGTTAATTTATTTGAAATTTTCGCTGGATTATAGTTACCAGCATCATCAGCTATAATATCGTAATTAAAAAATTACAATTATGACCGTTATTATAAATTACAAAAATTAAACTTTGACGTCAGCGTTAGAACGGCTTCTTTGACGCAAAAATGCAAAAAATAAAGTCCAAAATTTAGTTTTAATTTATAATTCGTTATCTAAATTTATTCCACCATAAATTGAAGAGTATTGATGTTTTTGAATCTCTAATGCTTCACGAACTTTCCTATCAAATTTATTGTCTTCTTCTTTAAGTGTTTTAACTTTATTAATTTCCTCTCTAAACTGTTTTTTATGAAGAGCTATAGCCGACTGATAATACTGATCTTCCATCAAACATTTTTGGTGTTGTTGAGATCTTGTTCTAATTTATAATTTTGTTTCACCATCATACACTTCGGAGCAATTACATTCGATTAAATAAATTTTAGGTTTACTGTTGTCCGGTAGCTTCGATTTGTTTTTTAATATTAGTAGAGTCCTTAAATTATGATTAGATTTAAAAACAGTACGGTAACCAGCTTTCCGAAATATTTTTCTAGGTTTTGGGAATAATAATAGTATCCAAGGTAAAGAGATTGTAGAAAGTGCATTTCGATTTGTTGGTATTTGAATTTTGTTTGCATTAGGCATTTCATTCATGTTAGTAGATCTTTTTATTTTAACCTGGTTAGCAATGATTTAATGCTATAACCAATATTCAGATTAAACCTCATTCAAATCATGATCCGGAAATTTAAAAGTCAATAATTAAATGTTATGTTCATAGAGCTTACAGCATATGAGTGAGGCATATCTTCAAAAGGAGATTGATTTTTTAATTAATATATTTAGTGAAAATGGTTATAACAAACGTCAGCTTCAAATCATTGCTAACCAATATATATATATATATATATATATATATATATATATATATATATATATATAATATATATATATATATATATATATATATATATATATATATATATATATATATATATATATATATATATATATATATATATATATATATATATATGTATATATATATATATATATATATATATATATATATATATATATATATATATATATATATATATATATATACACATATATATATATATATACATGTTATATCTCTAAATATACTTCTGCGGAATCATTAGCGCCTCCTTTTTTTTTACTTCTGAATTTATCAAAATGGATCCTAACTCTCTATTTTTTAAATTATGTTCTCTTTTCAATAATTACATATTACTCTATTTAGTTGATCACTTAATATATTCACTTCATTCCACCCACTAGCTTAATTTCTTCCCGCTAATTGATACTTTGACATGTTAAGTCAAATAAGGACGTATATTTTAATTCTATTTTAAATTTAACTAAAAAGATAACTCAATTTAAAAATAGATTTATATTAGAAAAAAATGCAATCTGATTATTAGTTAAGCTTTTGTATAAGAAATTTTTTTTTTTTTTTTACTACTATCTACTGACTTAGAAATTTCTAGGAGATAGTTTACGCATTGATGGCATTAAAGAAACCCCGAATAAAAACTGGAGTGATTGTGAGAAGATTGTTAAAGAAATTTTTCAAACTTGACATATTAGATGAAATAAGAATGGAACATCGAGTTCATTCAATAACAGCAAAACACCAACATCAATTGTGTTAAAACTACTCAACTATCAAGATTAAAACAGAATTTTAAATTCAGTAAACAAACTTAAAGGATCGGGAATATATGTTAATGAAGATTTTGCTCAAGAAACGATGGAAGAAAGAAACTCAAAGGATTGGAAATATATGTTAATCGCAGTAATCGCTGTATGATAAAATTTATTATAGAGATTTTTTAAAAAAATCACGGGGGGGGGGGTTATTTTTATTTTTAAGTATTTTATTTCATTTTTTTATTATACATACATATGGTTAACTTAACAATAAACTTTAAAAAATTTAATGTTTTGGAATCAAATGTTTTACTAAATATCTTTTCTGATGCAGACATTTTTTCAATACAAATAATTTTAATTCGTCTTTCTTTGAAATGGAAACTTTTATAACAGAACTAAAAACCTTTAAAGTGACTTTACGGTAATACACATAAACATTAGAAGCATAAGTAACAACATTGATAAGCTAAAACATTTTCTTATCGAATGCAATTACTTATTCAGCAGGATTTGCATAACAGAAACCTAGTGTTCTGACGAAATATCCAGAACTAATTCAAATTTAGAAATTCCAAAATACAAACTATTATCATATGAAAGAAAAACTAACAAAAAGGAGGTGGAATAATAACTTATGTTCGGAATGATCTTGCAACAAAAATTAGATATGACCTTTCGACCTCCAATGCCGATAATGAGGTTTTTACTGTTGAAATAGCTAATACAAAATCAAAAAACATTTTGGTTTTCACATGTTACAGACCACCCGAAGGTGAGATATCAAAATTTAGTAATCACTTTTTAAAAATCTTCTTAAAAAACAGTAAAAAAAAACTATTTTGCATTGGGGACTTAAACATAGATTCTCTAAAATATGACGGAAATGCCAGTACTAAACTTTTTTTTGATAAAATTATTTATCTTTTAAAAAAAACAAGTCTCCAGGTATAGACGATATTTGCAGTAATATTGTTTTTTAATGTTTTTTCAGAGATAAGCAAGCCTATATTCGAAATATTCAAATCATTAATTAAAACAGGAATTGTAGGAATAATAGCCGGACAAATTAAAAACGGCTAAAATTATACCCATTCTTAAAACATCATCTTTAAATAACTACAAACCAATCTCCATACTTCCTATTTTCTCTAAACTACTTGAAAGAATAATCTACAATAAATTATATAATTATCTAACTCAAAACAAATTCTTAAATAAAAAACAATTTGGTTTCCAGACACAACATTCAACCGAACATGCAATTCTAGATCTAGTAAATACCATAAGTGATTCATTCGATAAAAACCAATTTGTCCAAGGAGCCTTTATAAATCTATCAAAAGCGTTTGATACTGTCAATCATAATATATTACTAAAAAATATGGAAAAATATGGAATAAAAAATATAAATCTTGATTGGTTCAAAAGCTACCTGTGTGGCAGACAAAAATGCGTAATTTCAGACGATAAAAAATATTTAAACCTTTTAGAAATAATCCTCAAGGTTCCATTCTTGATTCCGTTTTTATTCCTATTTTATTCATCGTCATCCATCAAAAAACTTTATGAATGCTGGTCTTAAAAAACTCAACATCCGGTTCAAGGCTAATAAATTATCTTTAAATACAGAAAAAAAAGTGTATCTTGTTTCATTCTAACCAGCAGAAAAATAATATACCACCAATCCTACCATCATTAAAAATAGATTGCATATGCATTAAAAGAACTGAAAAAACTAAATTTCTTGGAATAATTATTGATGAGAAGAGTTCCTGGAAGGTTCGTATAAGTTCAATAAACAAAAAAATGTAAAAAAGCATAGGTGTTCTTTATAAAGCTTAACGAATGCTCTCACAATCAAATCTTAAAATTCTCTACTTTTCTTATATCCAAAGTTATTTAAATTACGCTAACATTGCATGGGGGAGAACGCATAAATCTAAATTAAATTCTCTATACGTGCATCAAAAACATGCATCCAGACTGGTCTATAATAAAAATAAATTAACTCATGTCAATCCTTTACCTAAATCTTTAAATGCACTAAATATCTATCAAATTAATATATACCAAAATATTTTATTTATGTTGAAATACAAACTTGGACTAGTTCCAAATTATTTTTCTAATAACTTTTTTCAAATTAACGCTAATAAGTATACTACAAGAGGAACGGGAAATTTCACGTTGCCTATAAAAAAAAAGAATTTCCCAATATGCAATTGTATACTGCGGCCCTTTCCAATATAACAAAGTCATACCCCAAAATATAGTAATAGTAATAATAGTAATATATTTAAGTAAGTCTTTATAGATTACATGACAAATAAATAAAAAAACAATCCAATAAACAGACCAAAAAACAAAAGCATTTTTTATTTTATTTTTTTTTAGTTTTTTTTTTTTTTTTTTTTTTTTTTTTTTATTGTTATTATTATTATTATTATTATTATTATTTTTATTTTTATTTTTTAATTTTTTTTTTGCTTTCATTTAATTACAGTTTACGTTTATGACAAATGTACCTAAAAAGTCAATATTTGTAGCTGCTAAAGCACGAATTAATTAAATTAAACGTGCAGCTCATCTTCAGTAAAAGATGCACTGTTTGCAGCTGTAGGAAAAAAATACTTGTCAATTCTACTTTTGAATGCGTTATTTGACGGAGATTTTTTGCATGACAACGGTAAACAATTCCAATCATTCACAATACGATTTGTGAAGAAATTATGTCGAGCATTAATGTAAGTGAAATCACGCGTTAGTACGTTGGATGGTGATCTGCAAAGAGGTGGATTATGCCAAATAATAATTTCAAAACCATTTTCAAGTTTAAACTGTTGGATCAAGTTGCCGCGTCGCCTGCGAGTTTCCAAAGAAGTAAAATTGAGACGCCGACACCTTTCAGCATAAGGTAAACTTGTTATATCATAAGGAATTTTTGGTGCTTTGTGCTAAATTTTTTCAATTTCTTTGATGTCGCCCTTTAAGTAAGGACACCATACCGGAACAGCAAATTCCAGGTGCGGCCTAACATATGTAGTATATAGTTTACCCCAAAGCCTAATATCTCTTGATCTAAATGTTTTTTTTAGTAGGCCAATGTATTATTGGCCTACTAAAAAAAAATGTATTGGCCTACTAAAAAAGAAATGTATTACCATCATTCATTACATATTCATGATTTATATTTCCATGACCAAGATGCATAACTTTACACTTTGCAACATTTAATTCCATAAGCCATTCTTTTGACTACTCTGAGATAATGTTTAAATCATTTTAAACATTATCTCAGAGACCATTAGATGCTTCGAAGGTTGAGAAATCAACTAATTGTTCTAGATTATGATTAGCCAAAGTTTAAGGGTTTGTCAAGTTTTCCAATCTTGTCAAGGTCAGAATTAGCTGCTTTTCTTTCTAAGTTTAATTTAATATATTCGCTTTGCTCTGCTGCTGTGCGGTCGGAGCGTATGAATATATCTTTAAAAGTACCCGATGCCAGTTGTTTTGCCGACGCTAGAACGTCATTTCTGTATATAGTTTACCCCAAAGCCTAATATCTCTTGATCTAAATGTTTTTTTTAGTAGGCCAAGTATCATATTTGCTCTACGTGTCGCAACCTGTATTTGTTGATTCCATTTTAGATCGTTAGATAAAAAGATTCCCAGGTCTCTTTCAATATCCGTTGCCGCTATAATAAGAAATGTATTACCATCATTCATTACATATTCATGATTTATATTTCCATGACCAAGGTGCATAACTTTACACTTTGCAACATTTAATTCCATAAGCCATTCTTTTGACCACTCTGAGATAATGTTTAAATTATTTTGAAGAATCAGACAATCAGCATCGTGAAACTCAGGTCTTATTTCTTGCAACAGTTTAGTATCATCAGCATAAATTTTATGAACTGATTTTAAATTATCCGTTAAGTCATTTATGTAGATGATGAATAATGTTGGACTCCGCTTAAAACATTGGTCCAGTCGCTAGAGTGATTACCTAAAACTGTTCGTTGTTTTCTGCTAGTCAAAAATGACTCAATCCATTTGCTAACATTACCATTGATCCCATATGCTTTCAATTTATGTATTAGTTTACGATGAGAAACTTTATCAAACGCTTTTGCAAAGTCCAAAAATGCAATATCAACAAAATTTCTTTTGCTTAACGCTTTTGTAATGTAGTCGATACTTTCCAATAAGTTAGACGTGCATCCTTTTATGGACATAAATCCATGTTGATTATTTGAGATGCAGCTCGTTTTTTCAAGATATTTAGTTATCTGTTCCTTGAAAATCTTTTCCATTACTTTACATGGAACTGAAGTGATAGTCACTGGTCTATTAGCGGCATCAAGACGACTCCCTTTTTTAAACAACGGTGTAACATGTGACTGCTTCCAGGCTAAAGGTGTTGAGCCTTCAGACAGTGTTTTATTGTAAATTAATGTTAGAGGGTAAGTCATTTGAGCTGCACATTCTTTAAGTCCTTTTGGACTAATATTATCAACACCAATAGATTTGTTCGGGTTCAAACCATTCAAATAGGCTAGCGTTGCTTCAAAACTTATTATTACATCGCCTAAGTCTTCTTGATTATGTCTTCTCTTAAAAACCGGTAACTGATCATTTATGCTATCATCAACAAAAACTGATTTAAAGTGTTCGTTAAGTCTGTTTGCGATATGTATTGCCTCTGTTAACGTTTCACCTTTTGCATCTGATATAACGCCAATAGATACATGTACGTTCTGTTGAGCTTTAGCATAAGCATACATTCTTTTTGGATTATTTTTATCTGATGCCAGTTGGGCTTCAAATACTTGAACACGATGTGTACATGCTTTCTGAACTTGGCGTCTTAGTTTCTTATATTCACAAATGAGGGTCGTTGATCCCCAGTTTGTCATAGATAAGTAATTGCCCAGTTGTTGTTTTTTCTTTATCATAGCTAATACTTCCTTATTCATCCACGGTGCATTACGAGTAGAATGGACTTTTTTTAACGGGATGAATTGCTTGCTGAGTTTATCATATTTATTGCAGAGATGTTCATAGCATTCGTTAGTGTTTTTATTTTCAAATAATTGCTGCCAGTTAATTTCCATAATCTTTTTACCGTAGTTTTATAGTCACCCTTATTAAAATCATATTTTTTGTTTGAGAAAGTTGTCCTGTTTTTAGAAAGGACGACATAATCCCAACTCAATATGCGATGACCTTGTGACAAATCACCTAACGGCATAGAGCTAGATAAATTGATTACTCTAGTTGAAGAACCTGTAATAATTAAATCCAAAACATTTTTTGCATTTCCATTAGATGCTTCGAAGGTTGAGAAATCAACTAATTGTTCTAGATTATGATTAGCCAAAGTTTAAGGGTTTGTCAAGTTTTCCAATCTTGTCAAGGTCAGAATTAGCTGCTTTTCTTTCTAAGTTTAATTTAATATATTCGCTTTGCTCTGCTGCTGTGCGGTCGGGGCGTATGAATATATCTTTAAAAGTACCCGATGCCAGTTGTTTTGCCGACGCTAGAACGTCATTTCTGATACTGAATCAACAATCATAAGAGGAGCGGGTTTCAAAGTTCTTTTTTTTTTGAAACGTTCAATTCTAACTACATTGACTGATTTACTTAAAGATGCCATAACCTTCTTGAATTCCGCGGTATCATCTTTGGTTATCTCGCTTGATTGAGTTTTAACAGATTCTGGTAGACCAAACACTACAATTCTCTTTTCTCTGTTAGTCACGTCCTTGTTATGCTTATTGAGGGCGCTCACTACAGCTACGTTTGCTAATGTACCGGGTTTGCCGACTTGTTCAACTACAGGGGTGGGACCGCAAAATGTGAACGTTTTTGTTTTATTATAACTATTTTCTCGTTAGATGTAGTTGTACTCTCTCACTCATCAGAAAGTGTCTAAAGAGTTGTTAAATATGAACTATTTTAAATAAGAATGTCCAACCATTGGACATTCTTATTTAAAATAGTTCATATTTAACAGAAAATTAATTATTACAATTAGAAAAGTGTTCACATTTTGCGGTCCCACCCATGTAATTTAGATAACAAAGCTTTTTCACTACTTTTACTATCTTTTAAAGACTTTATTTCAATATCCTGCAGATCAATTCTATTAGTAAGATCGTCAATTCTGGCGGTAAGTGTTTTAATTACATAAAGAGCTTGTTTCAGCTCTTCTTTGGCAATTTTATCAGCGTTTTCAAGAGCATCATTAAGCTTTTTTTGCGTTACCATTATTAGCAATTAACAGTGGAAGCAATTTTAAGGTTTATAGGTTATAAACGAATTTAAAGTTATAAATGAATTGCTTTTAACTCGATAAATCCTCAGAAATAATTTATATCCGTGAAGTTTATATATTAGTAAAAAAAAAAAAAAATGTAAATATCTTACTACACAAGAAATAAAAAGTTTGTAATACGTGTTTATGTGTTTACATATAACAATAGTTTTTCCGTATATAATTATATATATAAATATATATATATATATATATATATATATATATATATATATATATATATATATATATATATATATATATATATATATATATATATTATTTTTCCGTTTATAATTATATAATATATATATTAATAATAATTGTCACAATCACAAGAACACACAAAGGTAGTTATGTGTTAAAAAATTAATCCGAAAACAAACAACAGATTAAGAATCAGGTGCAAACGCGATTTTATAACAACTAGAAAGCTACAATAGAAAACTTTAGAATGTTGAGAATAAAACTTAAAGAATATATATATATATATATATATATATATATATATATATATATATATATATATATATATATATATATATATATATATATATATATATATATATATATATATATATATAAAACGCGTCTTAACTACTCAAGTCTTGAAGAATGAATGACAAAATGAATGACAAAAATGAAGAAAGAATGAAATATAGAACCTAGTAATTTTGGTAATCTTTATACTTTGAAGAAAAACCTTAAACATCTCATAATTAACTCAACAAACTTTATCAAAGTGACAAAGAAAAAGAAAAAATAACAAAATCCAAAATTCTTATACAACACCTACTAATTTTAATATCTCAATATTTTTATGTGTATTACTCTTGTAATGTCGCTTAACAAGTTTGTTTCTTAATTTTTTACTTATTTTATGTCTCAAAGGTTCTCGATGACAAGACTTCTTTAAGTCTTCTGCGAGTTTTCTTTCAACATCACAATTATTTCATCAAATTATTTTATCAAATATATTATCATAAAATATATATAAAACATATATTTTGTATTTAACACAGTGTGTTTGACAATATATTTTTAACGATTTATATATGTATTACAAGGCCGTAGACAACATTTTTTATGTTTGAGCTAAGCAACTTTAAAACATAAAGAAAATTCCATATTTAAGTATGTTCATAAATATAAGGAATAAGGATGCTATGCAAAAAATTGCGGTGATTGGAGAATGGGAACAACAAAAACCCTAAAACATTATCCCCCCAGCCCCAAACAGGAGAGCAGTTAGGCATATTTGTAACTTTTTTTTAATTTTAAACTTAATTTTTATTTATCGACGAATTTCAAATTTGATTCAATAATCTTTTGTTGTCCGGATTTTATAACCTTATAAATTTCCCCCCCCCCCCCTGGGGGGGGGGTAAACTTTATAAGGTTATAAAATTTATTAGGGCTTAAACTTTATAAGGTTATAAACTTTATAAGGGCTGTAAACTTTATAAGGTCATAAAAGCCGGTCAACAAGAGGTTATTAAATCAAATTTGAAATTTGACGATAAATATAAATTAAGTTTAAGTTTAAAAAAAAATTACAAATTTGACTAATCGTCCTTCTGTTAGGGGCTGGGGGGGGGGGCTAACGTTTTGGAGGTTTTGTTGTTCCCAGTCTCCAATCACCGCAATTTTTTGCACAGTATCCTCATTCCTCATATATATGAATGCAATCATATATACGCCATGTGAAGGTCTTCGTTAGTTTCAGCGTATCCCCAAAACAGAATTTCACTTCAGCATACTCGTTATTTTGTATAACTTTTCGTATTTTTTTAAATTAAATTTTTTACATAAAAAAATACTACTTAAAGTATTATATTTTACAAAAACCTTTTAGATTTATTGTTCAAATTCGGAATATTTAAGTATATTTATAGTTGAAAAAGTTAAAAATATCTAAAAATGTAAATTTTAAACTACGATATGTTAACTTCGTTAGTTTCAGAGTTAGTTTCTTCGTTAGTTTCAGACAATATATAACCATTAGTTAAAAATAATGAGTTAATTATATCTTAATTAGTATTAATGTTAAATTTTCTTAAAAATAAGAATTAACAAAGACGTAAAAATCTTTAAAAAAATTTAAAAATCTAAATGTATACAAATATAAAAATTTATATATATAAGAAAGATTAAATCATTCTTTTAAACACTAATCCAAAAAAAAAACCTTTGAAAAATCATTCCAAAATTAATTTGCTAACGTTTATAGTTCGTTTTGCCTGACATATTGCGACGTTAGATTTATCTTGTTCTATCCCCACATTTTTTAAAAGTTGAATTAATGATAATGTTATGTACCTTTGTATATTATTTTTCTATTATATATTATTTTTCTATTGTATATTATTCTTTCCTTTGTATATTATTTTTCTACTTTATTGAAACTTAAGTTATAGGTAAAAAAGTTGCGGAAAAAACGAAGGTTTCAATCGTTTCATCTCAAAACTCAAAAATGTAGAGACAAAAACAAAATAATTTTAACGTAGCGATATCTAAAATCAAAAAATTATAAAGAGCAAAAACATCAATTTACAAAAGTTTCTAGGTTCCTGGTTCCAAGGTTTTTAGGACACTTTTTAGTATTTTTGTTAGTGTTAGTACTTTTTATTTTTTTGTTATTAAAAATCTATTTTAAATATCTTTGATTTTTCAATTTAAACGAGAGTTGTCCATGACAAATTAAAATTAGAAAAATTGTACCTAAATTTAAAGTTGAAGATACGCCTATTCTAATTAATCACAGACTAATCTCAATTCTTATTAATTTTGTAAGTATAAGCCTTTATACAATAGACTTTATAAGAATTTATCATATCACAAAATACTAAGAAAAATTCAATACGATTTGTCTCGGAATTTTCACATAAAAGCTATTAACAAAGACTTTTTATTAATTCCATCAAACAGAAATAGTAACACATTTTTTATAAACAACTATTTATTATACTCAGTTATGTTAAATACAGTTATCTATTACATGGTGAGTTTAAAACGTATTGAATACGAAAAAAAGATAAATGAAACATCAAAAAAAGATCCCAAATTAATTCACAGTTATGTTAACTCTAACAAAAAAATTAAAGAAGGAATAGTTTCAATGTATGATAAATATAATAAAACTGTAACAAATAGAGAATCTTTAGCAAATATTTTAAACAATACTTTCATATCAGTTTTTGTAATAGAAGATAGACATAACATACTAAATATAGTGCTGAAGACTAAAATTATTCTATAAGTAGATAAAAACTATAAAACAACTCGCCATACTATTGAAAATAAATTTAAAAAATTAGATGTTTACAAAGCTGTTGGAGTAGATGGGATAAGCCCATATGTCTAAAATATATGTCATAGTACTCTCTGTGAATCATAAACTTTATTTTATATATATATATATATATATATATATATATATATATATATATATATATATATATATATATATATATATATATATATATATATATATATATATATATATATATATATATATATATATATATATATATATATATATATATATATATATATATATATATATATTTATATATATATATACATATATATATATATATATATATATATATATATATATATATATATATATATATATATATATATTATTACGAATATACGAATTATCGATTATCTTACAAAAAACATCTTATTAAATGAAAAATAGCATGGTATCAGAAAAAATAACAAATACACAATAAACCTATCAGAAACTCTTGATATCATAACAGATGTACTAGAAAATGGCCACACAGTTGA